CCACCTCCGTCGCAGCTCTCTCTTCCCGAGAAGTTCTCTGCAGTTGATTTTTTTTTGGTGAACGTGTGTGTTTGTGTGTTTCATTGCATTTCATGCCCGTCTTGATTCTTTCTCTTTATTTCTAAACATTTAAAATGCACTTATTCAACCAGTGTTTACTGGGTTCGCGCTTCTTCTGGGCCTGGGTGGTGAATGAGACAGGCGAGGTTTCTACTCTCACGGATTTTACATCCTCCTGGATGCGGGGAGGGAGCAGGCAATTAGCAAGGAAACATAAATTAGCACAGTAATCTCAGAGAACGAGAAGTGCTAAGAAGAAGATAAAATAAGATAATGTGCTAGAAGATGATTTGAGGAGAGGGGGAGACTGTTTCAGATTGTGGCGTTTCTGCTCCCTTCTTCCTGGAATCCAGCCTCCCTGCCGCAAGGAAGCCCATGGGAAGACCCAGAGTGAGGATCCTCGAGGCCCTCCGCTGAGCTCCCGGCAGGAAAGGAATAAGGCAACAGACCAGAAAAGCAATAGGTGAGGAGGCAGCTTTGGGGGTTGGTGAGAAAAGGTATTTTCGAGGAGGTGGTATTTGAACTGAGATTTGGAGAGTTACAAGGAGGTATCCATGCACTGAGTGGAGAAAGAACTTTTTAGCATGAAGGAACAACATATGCAAAGGCCTAAGGAGGGAAATTCATTCCTCTTCTCCTTCCTCTTCCCCTCTGCCTCTCTCCCCGCCGCCCCCCCCCAACTCCCCCCCCCTTCTCCTCCTCCTTCTCCTTTTTCTCCTCCTTCTTTAGAAATGACAGGGGTGGAGGCATGGTATAGGTTGGAAAAGCAGGCCAAGATCATGCCAGGCAGGGCCCGTCGGGCTGCGCCGATGGAGCTAAGAGCAGTGGGAAGCCCCTGCAGGGACCTGCTCAGTATCACATGAAGACCGTTCTGGCTGCTCCAGGGACAGACCTTCTGGGGAGTCCCAGAGGGCCAGTCAGAGGAACAGCTAGTCTGTACGATGGGTTCCCTTTGCAGAATTTTAACCTGTGAAAGCAGCCAACATACAGAAAGGTACAGCGGACATGGTGCAGACAGGGACACCCAAGTCCGGAGAAGTCCAGTGCCTGGAACAATGGTCCAGCACCGATCAGAAGTCCACGAGACCTCATGGCGCAGATCAAGGAGCCTGAGCGGGTGTGCAGCAAATGCCATTTAGTTTAATTTCCCCTATTTTCCTTCAGTCACCAGTTTGGTAAGGGGAGAATTTCAACCATCTGCAAGTAATCCAAATGCCTTACTAACCTGCCTACTCGCCCACCCCCATACAAAAAAAAAGAAAAACAGAAACCAATTCCCGAGCTTGCACGCCTGCATTCTCCACAATCATCTCTGTATTACAGCCCTTGTCATCTTACATTACACATGAATAACTAATCAACCAAACACAAACCCACTGATGAAAAAAACGCACATGTTGGATCTAGACTGTGAGCAGGGTAAAGAGTAATATTAATTTCACTGGTAAATAACAAAACGGGAGCAAACACGAGTGATGTTGAGACAAGAATCGTGTTTCTGAACACTTCTGGGATGGGAAACGTCCCAAGAAACAAGGAAATGGGGAAGCTAGGGTCAGGTTGACCGTCTCTGGAGGGACCAATGCCACCCTTTTCTGGCATTCATAAGCATCCTGGGTCCACCCGCTGGCCGTTTGAACTACCACCCGTTGTCTCGCCCAGCTGAACAATTCATATAATAATCTTCCACTATCCCCTCCTGGACATGTAGGTGCTAGCCCCACTCACCAACCAATCTGGAAGTGGACGCAGGCTTCTAGAACTTCCGTGGTGTGCAGCGCCACATTAGGTATGTGGTAGGTGTCTGATAAATGCATCTGTCCACAAACTTCCTAAATGCAGTCCATCTCTGCCTCCATCATTTTCCTGCCATGCGTTTTCGAACCACTAAGGAGGGGCTCCTGATCTCCAGGTTCAGAGAGTGGTCTGGCACTTTCCTCCTCCTGGACTTCTCTGTGGCGTCTGACACTGTTGAGACCCTTCACGTGTCCCTTGTGACCCAGAATTTTTCCAATTCTAATCTTTTCTCCCTAACCACCAGCGATTCCTTTACCTCCTTCAGCATTTGCAAGTGCACATTCCACAAAGACTTTGTTTTTCTCTCCTGTCACTCTTTCCCTATGAGAAATTCATTGCCTCTCTTGTTTCATGTCGATGCATGTATCTATCACCATCTGCCACGTTGTATGCAAAGTACCTGTTTATGGGCCTATCTGTCCACCTAGGTTGCAAGCTCCTCTTGGTGCCCCAGTCAGCTAGCTGCTCAGCACACACCAGGAGGAAGTCTCTATGCTTCAAACTACGCTTGCAGGTAGACTGGGTAGAGAGTGTTATCCCCATTACATGGAGAGCCCCCTCACCCCCACCGCAAAAACAACAACAACAAGAGAAGCTCAGGGAGGTTAAGTTAACATTGAGAACAAGATTCCTGGTTGCTGGCGACTGAGAGTCTGTGTCTTCAGTGCGGTAACCATCCAGATAGTGCCGATGGTGAAAGGACTGTCAGTCGAACCTCAGTGTTGTCTAAATACCGGCATCTTTCTGTGCTCTTCTGAACAGCCTTAAATTTGCCAGTTCCTCTCTTAAAATATAGCCCACAGGACTGAGCATAAAACTGCATGTGGCCTGACCCGCCAGCGCGCACTGGGATTATTGCTTCTCTCCTTCCACACTCTGCAGTTCTATTAATAGAGCCTAAGATTGCATTAGGGTTCTCGACAGCCTCCTTGCGCTGTAGGTTCACATCAAGCCTTCTGTCAAGCCAGCCCTCCCCATCAGCCACTGGGGCGATTGATTTTTTTTTTTTAATGTTCATGATTATCTATGACTCACACTAAAAGATACAAAACAAGGTCTTGCCCTCCTTCCTTGTGTGGCATCTGCTGTGTGGGTGATGGGGTCTCGGGGGCCTGTTCGGGAGCCAGGGGCATGGCCGGCCACCATGGAGACGGCCTCCAGCATCATCCCATCCACAAAGGCAAGAGGAGGGTGATGAAATGAATTTTCTGGTCCACTCCAAATTATTCCTACGTTCATCCCTTCTCCTCTTGGGTTATGGGCCCTTCTTCATCTTGTTCTAATTCTGGGTGTTTAAACACAGAGCCTCTCATTCCTCCCACCCATGGGCATAGCTCGTTTTATTTCGTATGCCCTCTTCAGGCGGTATTATTTTTAGCAGGAGTGTCTTACTCAGCAATTTGCTCTACAATCTATTTCCTATTGTCCCCACATCTAATCTTTTCTCTTATTCTTTCCCTCCCTCTGTCTCCGTCTGTATGTCAATATTATGTTTGGCCAAATAGATTTGATTTCCACCTACATGAGTCCCCTCTTCAGAGATTATAGTGCTACCTCTCTCTCCTTTTTTCTTGCATTCATTTTTTGTAGTGACTTGAAATTAGTTGTTTGGTAGTTGTAGGAACTGCAGTGCAAGTTATTATGGTGGATCTTGGTTTCAACCCTAGGAAACCTTTGGATTTGTGGGGCTTGGGTCTCAGAATTTGATGGCGGGGTTCATAAGTCGGGAATCTGGGGCCCTGAGCTGCAAGACAAGTTCTCTTTCCTCAGCCTACAGTAGAGGGAACTGCAAAGGGGCATAAGCAGGCGTTCCCACCATCCGCCAGGAGAGGGCGTCATCCCCACAGTCCTCCGCCTCTGGAATTTCTCAACGAACTACACGCTGTCTGGGGGGCCTCCTGAAGCCTCCAAGATAGGATGGGATGACACCACGGCCATGCTGCCGTTGCTACCTTGGCCACCTCCAATAGTGTGTCAATGGTAAAAAGAATGTTGAAGAAGCAGACCCAAAGTTGGTCCAAACGAATGCGTGGGTCTGTGAGTCTGAGTTAGGAGCTTGCTGGAGGACAGGCAAGCCGACGGGGCTCAGAGGCCAGGCGGTGGCCGTGACTTTGAGAACACTTGGAGTCCACGGATGCAAGCTGCAGACCGTGTGAGGGGGTCCGGTGGAGGCGCCCTGCATATCGCCAGCTGTGACATTTAGATTTGTTTGGCAAGGCAGGTCACGGTCGGCATGGGGCAAGTTCTGAAGTGGGTGTAGAAGTGTCAGGGAGGGTGACGGAGGCACCGAGTCAACCATTTCCAGGTGGGGTTAAAAGGCGTAGCCATTTTCCTCTGGGGGCCCCAGCACCTTTCATCAAGACTGAGTTGGTAACTGATTAAAAAAGAAGAAATGGAAGATTAAGCCCGAGAGGCCAGAGGAGAAAATGGTTTCCAGGTGGAAAGGACTGATCCTCTATTAACACCACCGGGTGTGCAAGCAGCCCACGGTCCCCCCACCCTCCCAGGCAGCGCTGGGCGACCGCCAGCTCCAGGAGGCAAAGGGCTCCCAACTGCCAAGCAGTGAAGATGTTTAATAAAATATTTACCTACGTGTATAAGAATAATGATGACAGAATGACAAACAGCAGCTAACAGCTTTAAGGTGCATGGGAGAGCAGCTCTGGGATATTTTTAATGAGAGCGGTAACTCACTGTTTAATTCCTGACACTTATCTGCTGTGGCTACTGCACCCACACTCCTGTGGGAGAGCCGTGTTTGGGGAGGGGATTGCTGGGATGGTGTAGAGCGCCCCCTGCAGGAAACGGCCCCCCCCAAGGGCTGCAGCCAGCCTCACTTTCAACTCCATACTCCTATCCACCTCTCCGTGACTCCTAGAGATTAAAGATTTCTGAATCCCGGCCGCACCACACCTGGAAGGATCCTGGGCTCTGGCCACTCAGTGAGTGATACTGATGTTAGTTAGGAGTCTGACCTGTTCTTATTCAGCTGGATTTGCCGGCAGCATTTGCCCTGGTTGGGTGTGATGATACTGAGCTGGCGACAAGGGGAGAGGAAGGCAGAAGGCCCCACAGGGAGCAACACTCTCCGGCCCAACACTACATTTCTAGCTGTGTCCGGCGTGAAAATGCAAAAGAAAACATTTGGCTGAACACGTTTTATTTGTTTTTTGGGTTTTGTTTTTGTTTTTGTTTTTGTTTTTTGCATTTCCTTGGCTAGTTTGGAAAGACAAATAAAAACAAAACAAAACAAAGTTTCTCTATCACTTAAATGGAAAAGGCCTTTATGCCTCTGAATGTATCAAACTCTTGTTAGGGGTAAATAAGTTACACACAGAAGTAGCTGTATGTTACATCAGCAGTGTCTGAAAATTAGAATTTCACTTTCTCTCAGCCTCACACCCTTTTTTTCATGTTTTCCCTCCCGATAATTTATACCTCTAGTTATGACGGTTAGAAAGATACCATCTTGGTTTTCCCATGTTCTACACACCTAGAAGAAGGACCAACCTAGGATGTGTGCACGCGCTCACTGTCTGTTTCTTGGAAGAAAACACACTAGCCCTGAATTTAAGAGCATGCTCAGAAGTCATCATTGAGGAAAGAGCTACTTATTTGTTTAAAGGAAATACATGGGGAGGGGGGAGGGGTGGGTGGAGGCGGAAGAGGGTATAAAAGGGATAAATCACAATGGGAAAAAAATACAATAAAAAACTATTAAAAATAAATTTAAAAATAAAGGAAATACAAAGGGCCCATTACTTTCAGACATGGAATTTATAGTCGCTGGGATTTCTATGAATACAAATTCATCTGCCAAATATTTTCTGGTAAAAATAGGGTTTGCTCTTTTTTTGGTGCCAAGTCTGCCATGTCGGTTCTTGAGAGTAAGGCTTGTAACACCAGGAGACACACGGAGTGAGCTGTCTCTTTAATCAGTGAAGCGCCCGGCGTGGCGGCGACATGCAATACCAAAAGTAAACGAGGAGCATCCTGTGAAAAAAAAGCAAGTTTAAATTAATCTCGCTCTTCCAATTTGAAAACACGCTCACGGTTGTTAGTAACCGAGTTAAGACATTTAAATCATACATAGACTTTTGTATGTTGACAGTGACCTTTTGTAAGTGTGCAGTGGGGATAAGAAGATGAGCACGGAGATGCTCCGGAAAGAGCATTGTAGGTAATTGAACATGAAATGTGTTGCAATCTGATAACATTAATAATATGCAATCACTGCCTTAAATCTAATATGCAGCTCATTTGGCCAGGGTCAAACTCAAGCGCTCTAAAAATGTTAGCATGTGAATCCTCTTGCAAACCTGTACAGAGAGCAGCTCCATTTTTGTGCACTTTGTAGTATGTATGTGTTAGTCGTCTACTCTGTGTGACAGATTACTTCCAAACTTAGGAGCTGCGAACAAGTGTTTATTACCTCACACAGCAGCTGAGGGTCAGGAACCGCAACGGTGGAGTGGAAAGGTCCCGGCTCAGGGCGTCCCGTGAAGTGGCACTCAGGACGTGGGTCCGCGTCGCTGTCATCTGAAGGCCTGGCTGGGGTTGGAAGATCCACTTGTAAGGTGTCCAGCCCACCACGCTGGCAAGTTAGTTCAGGTTGTGGACAGGAAACCTCCATTCTCCCATCCAGCTATCCCAGCGTCTTCAGGATATGGCACCCGGCCTCCCCCAGAGCCAGAGGCACAGGAGTGAAGCGGCAGCCACAATGCCTGCCATGACCCAGCTTCCCAAGCCTCCCAGCACCGTGTCCTTCCTCCATGTTCCGTTCATTAGTAGCCAGTTGCTAAGTATGGCCCAGGAGGAGGGGAATTAGGCTCCACCTCTTGGAGGAGCCATAAAGAATTTGTGGACATATTTTAAAACCACCAAGACCCCTCCACTGATGGCTGGGGCAGTTGAGACTGATGGTGGCTCATGGTCGCCGAGCTACTGGAGAGACCCATGTGCAAGGCGGCAGGCCGTCTCATTTTCCTCCAGTGGGGCCAACCCCACACAGAGCAAAACAGAACACCCCACATTCCTGAGATCACTGCACACAAACCCCAAATCTGCCTCTTTAACATGGCTGAGGTCTTCTAAAAGCAGTAGGAAGGTTCATGCTTGGAAATGAATGAAATAGACACTAGACTGGAAAGTAGGAGCCTGCTTTCCTCTCGGTCAGCTCAGTGACCTTGAGAAAATACCACTTGTCTCAGGGATGGTTTCCTCCTCGGCAAAACCAGAGGGACCAACTGAGTGGTTCCTGGATGTGGTTGCCCATCCCAGTCCCCTGGAGAATGAAGGAGTCGCTAGTCTTACATTAGGTCTACGCACTGACAGCCGCCAGGAACCTGCATCGTTGAAAAGGAGTCCGAGGGACCACTGTGCCGACGGTGCCGACGGTGCCGACGGCGTGGCTTGCTGGACGGAGTATGTGACCTCTCCTGCTTCCCGCTCTAATGCTATTTGAACTCTCCCCTTCCAGCTGGATGTGCCCAGGTAACTCACTCGTTCTCGATCCTCACTACCATCTTAGGGGAACTAAAAAACAAGATGCCTGGGCGCCCTCCCCAAGCAAAACAAATCAGACCTTCTGGGATGGAGCCCAGGGGTCATTATGGTTTGTTGGTTTTCATCAGTATGTTTTAAAAGGATTGTGTTCAGCCTTGGTTGCATATTTGAATCATTGGGAAGTTTCCACTACCTGGACCGGTTAAATCAGAATCTTGTGGGTGGAACCTACCAGCATCAGTGTTGTTGTTTTTTGTTTTAATTCCCAGGTAAATGTAAAAGATAGCTGCATGGACCTATGTTTGCCTCATCTGAGATCATTGCAGTGCTGCCTCGCCCATCAAAGATTATTCAGAAGCAACATTATTCAGAAATCCAAGATGCCACAGCACTCCAAGAAGAAAACACTTTCGAAGTGGAAGGTATTAAAAATTAAATGGAAGGGAGTTCCATTGCTGGCACTGCGGCAGACCAAATAACGTGCAAATCCTCCCATTATAAATCACCTATAAATACTGGTCAAAACGCAATAAACACTCATGGAAACAGGGGCAGAGCCCGTAAGGCAGGGTCCCCGGTGCAAGATGGCAGTGAGCACGGTGAGCGGGCAAGTCGAGGTGGAACTCGTCTCGGGCAGGTGTGCTGGCCCCGAAAGGCTGAACTTTGGGCACCAAAATGGAAAAGAGACTGTGGCTTGGGCCCATTAAAAAATGGGGAGCCCTGACTGGTGTGGCTCGGGTGGTCGGGTGTCATCCTGCAAGGCGACGACGGGTCGCGGGTTTGATTCCTGACTGGGACACACGCCTGGGTTGCAGGTCCAGCCCCCCGTCTGGGCCCGTGTGAGCCGCAGCTGACCGATGTTTCTCTCGCACGTCAATGTTTCTCTCCCTCTTCTTCTCCCGCCCTTCCCCTTTCTCTAAAAATAAATAAACTTAACAAAATAAATAAAACAACGGGGAGATGGAACTGAAGTGCCCACAGAAAGTGGGAACCCTCCAAAGGATGAATCATTATAGAAATAATTCATTGGAAAAAAATCTCCCCAGCGGCACAGGGAGACAAGAAAATTTAACTGCCTTGGCATGAGTTGAAAGTGGAGGAAAAAATCTGTTGCTGAGAATTTGGGACGACAGCCCAGGCTTCATGTAAATTTGGGGCTGGAATTTACCCTACCTGTATGGTTTAGGAGCCCCAAAGCTGAAAACGAATATAAAAAAAATACAGACCCAATATCAAACTATAAAATGTGCATGGCTACGACCCACCACATCCAAGACACGAGAGTCCTGGGAACCTCGGGCAACAGAACTATCAGACAGGCTGTGTACAGAGTGGGCTAAAAGCGACTAAAGACATAAAAGAAAGACATTTGAAACCATGGGAAAATAGTCTTACACCATTAAAAAAAAGGTAGGCATGAAAGAGAACTAAATAGAACTTGTAGAAGTTACACACATCGTCATTGAAATGAAATGCTCAGTGGATGAGCTGCAAAGCAGACTGGAAATAGCCGAGGGAAACACGGCAAATGGATCCGAGGAAACGGCCCGGAGAGCAGTGCAGAGAGACAAAGCGGAGGGAAGTCTGCGAGGAGGGTTCAGAATAGGCTGCGTGGGGGCAGAAGGTGCATTAGACGCCTAATGTGAGTACCTGAAGGAGAGAATTGCACAGAAGCAAGGAAGACAGGACTTATTGAGATGATGACCGAATGTTTTCCAGATTTGAAAAAAAAACGACTCCTGAAATTTTGCATGTACAGTGAATCTTGAGCCAGGTACATGAGAACTTCATACCTGAACAGAGAATGGCAAGAAGGCAGGGAGCCAAAGAAAGAGGAAAATCTCAAAACAGAAAGAAAAGGCGGAGGACCCACCAAGGAATGACATTTAGATGGGACAGCAAGTGTCTCAGCAATAAATAGAGAAACAAGAAGACGTGATACAGTCAAAAAAGTGCTGAGGGTAAAAGAACTCTCAATCCAGAATTCTGCACCCAGAGAAAAATCATCATTCAAGGATGAGAGTGAAATAAGACCATTGTATATTCATGGAGAAAGCATGTCAATCACATAACCTCCCTGAAAGAATTACTAAAAGACAAGTTTCAAGGAAAAAGGCTGGTACCTAGAAAAAAAAAAGAATAGTATGCTAGAAACAAAGGTGAATACATTGGTAAGCATGGGTAAAACTGAACAATGATTATATAAAACTAAAATAACAGCAGTGCCCTGGTTGGGTTAGCTCAATTGGTTAGAGTGTCGAGCCAATACACTAAGGTTGCGGGTTCAATCCCTGGTCAGGGCACATACAAAAAACAACCAATGAATGCATAAATAAGTGGAAATAAGTGAAACAACAAATTGATGTTTCTCTCTCTCTCTCTCTCTCAAAAACAAAAAAAGATTCTTAAGTGAAAATAAAATGACAACAGTGATTAAATTTAGGGGTATAAGAACCAGGTGGGTCCAAAATAACACACAAAAGGGAGCATGAAACTGAAGTTGGAGCATTCTTAGCTTACTGCGTAGTGTTAGGGCTGGTTGGGTCAAGTGTACAGGTTAAAAATTGTACTCACTAAAATAATAGAAACAGAACCTGTAACTTTTGAATTAGTTAAAGAGGAAAGGGAAACAAAAAACTCTTATAGCAGAGAAGGAAGAAAGTAAACAAAAAACTTAGAGAAAACAGAATAAATATCAGGTGCAAAATGAGAAAGGAGACAAGTTAAAAAATGTCGGAAGTCAGTACATTAATAGCCTGTCTTATACATGGCTAGTGGGGATACAAATTGAAGAGCACTTTGGAACATAGTTTAGCATTATGTTGTAACATTTTACATTCATGTATCTTACGACCCAGTAATCACTCCGAAGAAGAGAAATTCTTGCCTACATGCAGCAGAAGAGAAGAATGCTCGTGACAGCTCTGCTGGCAAAAGCAAAATATCGGAACGACTCACACACCTGTGATAGGAGAATGGACAGACCCAGCTGCGGCCTAGTCACACACGGAGTAGTATGCAACTACAAAAAGGAGTGAACCACAACCAGATGCAACAATCTAGTTGAATCTTAACACTATCATGTTGAATAAAAATAAAGCCTCAGAAAGTCTTCATAAAATGTTAAAACAAATGTGTGATAAAAATTTGATGGAAATTCTTTAAAAAGCAAAAGAATAACAAATACAAGACTGAGCCCTGGCTGGTGCGACTCAGTGGATTGAACACCGAACTGTGAGCCAAAAGGTCTCCGGTTTGATTCCCAGTCAGGGCACATGCCTGGGTTGCGGGCCAGGTCCCCAGTTGGGGGTGTGTGAGAGGCAACAGATTGATGTATCTCTCACACATTGATGTTTCTCTTCCTCCTCTTTCTCCTTCCCCTCCTCTCGCTCTAAAAATAAATGAATAAAATATTTAAGAAAAAACAAATACAAGAATGAGATTGGTGGTTACTTCGGGGCAGGGGGAGCATGAATGGGGAGAAGCACATGGTCGCTGTCATTGTTACTGTTTTCGTCCTCTAGTTGGGTAGGGTTACACGTACTCATGACATCAAAAAATACAATGAAATAGAACAAGGTCATGAATATACCTAGTGATGACAGTATGTTTATGCCAGACATTCTGATTAACATATTCTTGCACCCCTAAGTTCCATTAAAAATATCGGCAATCACATTAAGTGTAAATGGGCTAAATGTACTAGTCAATGAAATACATAAATGAACCAGGGGCTCACCTAAAACTTAAACAGACACAATAAGGTTGAAAGCAAAAAGACGAGGGAAGATACGCCAGGCAAATGCTCACTAGAAGCTGCAGTAGTTTTATTTATAGCAGGCAGTTGGCTTTACAGCAAAAAGCACTAGGTTTCAAGATCATCTGTGCATATGTTGAAGAATCACTTCACTCAGAAAACACAGTCTGTCCAAGCTTGTATATACCTAATAACACAGTCTCAAAACACATAAAGCAAAAAGAGAAATAAAACGTGAAAAATGAGAAAAGTGCAGAGTCATAGGTTTTAACGGCCCTTTCTCGTGTACCTTATCCATACTTTAAAATGAATGTTCCTCTCTAGGAAAGTTTGAGAGATTTAGAGGAGAAACTGGCAAATTCAGTTATGTAAGGAGATTTTTATGTGCCACTATAAAAAGCAATAGATCAAGCAGACAAAACATCAGTAAGGCTATAGAAAATCTGGATACCATAATTAACAAGCTTGATTTAACAGACCCAAATAGGATACTACACTTAACAATTAAAGCATACACATTCTTTTCAAAACCACATAGAATATTTATGAAAAGCTGACCATTTACTGAAGTAAGATTCCACAAATAACAAAAAGCCTGTTTCATGCAGATTACCTCCTCTGGCCTGAATTCAGTTCAGTTAGACATAAATAACTAAAAATCAAAACAAAAAACTTAGGTTTAGAAATGTAAAAATAAACAAACACATGTAGTGAGCCAAAGAAGAAATCATATTTGAAATCTAAATATTCTTTGCCTGGGTTGATAATAAAAATTCTACATATCTTGTGGAATGTAGTTTGAATGGTACCCAGAGTGAAATCTGTAGGCTTAAATGTTAAAAAGAGAGAGAGAAAAAGAAAGGGAAGTCTGAAAATTAATTACTCTAACCACCAGTTGAAGAAATTTTTAAAAAGCCAACAAAATAAACCCAAAGAGAGAATAAAATAATATGCAACATGTATTAATAACACACTATATATCTTATATATTATATACATTCTTATATGTGACATAGGTTCTTATATGTAAGGGATATCAATAATATATAAAAGCAAAAGTTATTGAAAGAAAACAGTGTTAACCAAACTAAAAGTTGATTCTTTGAAAACACTAATAGAAAGTAGGAAGAAACAGTAGTTAAACGGAAAAGGGAGCTCTCTGGAACAACTCATCCAGAAAAGACACATGTCCAATAGTGTTTGTAATTAAAAAAAAATGGGTGTTATGGATGGATGCAGCAGAGAAAGTATATTGAGAAAACTATGAACAGCATTTTATTAATAAATGTGAAAACCTAGATGGTGTGGATAATTTTCTTGAAACATCTAAAGTGTAAAAATTGACTCAAGAAGAATATAAAACCTAAAGACAACCAGAGCCACTAAAGAAATGGAATCAGTAGTTAGAACTCAACCTAGGAAATGTTTATCCCAGACCCAGACATTTTACCAGCGAGTTCTACCAAACATGCAAGGAACACATAATTCCAATTTATACACACTGTTCCAGAAAATGGAAAAAGAAGGGACATTTACCAGTTCATTTTATGAGGCCAGTATAACCAGACAAATGCAACACAAGAAGGAAAAATTACAGCCAATTTGACTCATAGGCATGGATACAAAAAAAAAATCCTACAGTGAAATGAGATGTTGACCTTCATTCATTCATTCATCCTTTCAGTCACTCAGCAAATATTTATTGAGTGTCCACCACGCACCAACAGGCACTGTGCTAATACATGGAGAGCAGGAATGGACAGGAGATTAGGGCTTGTGGGAGGAGATGAGCAATAAAACAAATGATTACACGGGGTAAGGTACATAGAGGACATTCTGGCAGGATGAGAACAGGGCACATCAAGGGGTATCTGACCTGGTCAGAGAGGTTAGGGACAGCTTTCCACACACCAGTGGGATAAGAATGAGTGTGGGAAGAATGTTTAGGAGGCTGTTGCAGGGGGCTCAAGTGGGAGACCTGGGATGCGGTAGCGGGAAAGATGAATTTGAGAGATATTTAGGAAGACCAAAATACTACATTCTACAGACTTTCATGATAGACTGCACTTGGGAAGTGGTCAGCCTGGAAAGGGGTCAACTTTGTCTCTAGGATGATAGAGGCAACCTTAAAAGAGGTTCAGATTTAGGAGAAGAAAGCAAGGTTTGGGACATGTTGAGTTTGGGGGGACCTTTAGGAAGGCTACGGTTACAGGTATTGAAGAGGAAATTACCCAGAGTTTAGACCTTGGCGGGGAGGTCAGGCTGACGATTTTGAGTGGCGTCAGCTTGTCGGTGGTATTTAAACCCATCCCTCAGAGGAGCACGCCCAGAGAGGGTGTGAAGCTGGGGGAGAGAATGAACACAATATTTAAAGAACAGGCGGAGGACGAGTCAGGGCAAAGAGATGGAGAAGGAATGGCTGGAGAGATAGGAGGGAAACCAGAAGAATGTGGGCATCAAGGACACCCAGGAAAAAGTGAGTTACAGGAAGGGAGTGTCCAACAGTGTCACCGGCTGTCGAGGCTTTCAGAGGTGGAGGACTGACATTGTGCTTCTGGAATTCTCCTGACCCGGGGGCTACATTAAGTGAGTGAGCTGGAGAAGAAATGCATAATAATAATAATAATAATAATAATAATAAGCCATTATAATGAACATAGTGAGAAGGACAGCAGGAGGGAATTTTTAGGACAATGAAACTCTTCTGTATCTTGGTTATGGTTACTTGACTTTGGGTGTTTGTCAAAACTCATAGAATGATAGATCACAAAGAGTAAATGTTACTCCATGTAAGTTAAAAATATGTAAGTAAACATGGAGATTTAAGCGTTAGCTCTCTGACTCGGTAACTGTAGTGCTAGCCCCTCTCAGGGTTTTAATTTGGTTCATTGCCAGCTTGTTTAAGTCCCCAAAAGGGAGCAAGGGCACCCTTCTCTCGTTTGGTGAAGGACAGAGTCAATACACAGGCAGGAGAGCCGAAGGGCATTGTACTGATGGCCAGAACCCCTTTTAGGAACTGACTGGTGGGGGCAGGGCACAGCCAGGTGAGCTTGGCTCCTCTGGGCCCCCGATGTAAAATGAAGGGTTGATCAGGAAAGGCCTTTCCACCTCTCATGGTCTGTAGTTCTAGCAGAAAAGTCCCAAACACAAACCTGTTGTCCGCCTTTTGTTGTTGAGAATAATCATAATAAACAATTACCACAACAACGACTGGCTCTTAAACACATCAGACCACAGATGATCGGGGAAGCAGCTTGGAGCTACAGAAAACGCTTGAGCTTGTGGTATAAAGCTTTCGAGCACCTTCTAAAAAGTCAGATGAAGTAATGATTGATAATAAGCATGACCCTTCTCGGCTTACAGTGAAAAAGGCACTTTTGTATTTGCTCACTTCTCTCTCTCCTCTCACCCCATCAATCCTGACAGGGAGGAATTATCCCAATTTAGGAACCGGGGAGATTAAGAGTCTGGTCACCCAAGTCTTTGGCTGGTGTTTAGATTTTCCAATCCTTCCCCTTTTCCAAGACCCACAGTGGATTTGGTACAGTTTTGGTGTTGAGTGTATTCCATTGTGTCCTAATCCTATGACAATTTAATGGAAAAGTGTTAACTGGGCATCAATTCATGCCATATGAACTCCATGTATTGTAATAATTTAAAACAATAGGGATAACTGTTTTAAATGCCCCATAAATCGAATCCAGCCTGAATTTGGCCAGCCTGGAATCTGCTGGAAAAGTGTGAGATGCCTCTGGGAGGCTAACAACATTGTCTTTTTGGAGTTTTCAGTGCAGGAAGGGATGAAGCCAGTATTTATTAAGCACCTACTGTGTGCTAGTATCTGTAGCTGCACCACACAGCTCCTAACGCGGTGGGTGGCGGGGAGGGGATGTCTGAACCCACCCTCGGGCTACCTCCCCAGATGGCTGGGGGCTTGGATTATTTTAATCGCAAGCATTTTACTATCTTCATATAGACATAATAAAAGTATACGGGAAGAGTTGGAGAGGAGTTTCCTGAGATAAACCCCCTTCTCAGCCATCCCAGAGCCGCTTCAAAACTATTTTTCACTATATACAAAATTTTCTTTGAACCCCCATAATTTGACCTTGACTGCCTATAAACCCATTTTATTATTTTTTAAAACGCTGTATGATTAGCGCGGAAACCCTTTCTTCGGCACTTTCTCACCCCTGGAATCGCGTCAGTTTCGCAAAGTTCCAAAATAACCTTTCCCGGGCACGGATTCGTACCTCTGCCGGGGAAGGGCGGGGAGCGGCGCAAGACGTGCCGGTGTGCTGCGAGAGCCAAAGAGAACTTCCAGCGCGAAAGGAAAATAAAACTTGTGGCTGGTGTTTATGCGAGAGCGTCTCCGCAATCCTGAAGCCCCCCGATTCTAGGGGGTCTCGGGGTCCACCCGAGGAGCGCCAGGGTTTGGGTTTGATCCCGACGTCCTTGACCTAAATTTCTGCGCGGTGGCTGGAAAAAAGGCGCAGAGGCGGTCGGGCGTCTGGTGCCATCCCCGGATCCCGGCGGCCGCGGCCAGCGAACTTGAATGGAGAGGCCGAACTAGCGGGGGTCGTCTTCTCCCCAGCCCGACTGAGGATCGGCCGCTAGCTCCCCGCGCCTCCCCCTCCCCCGGTCCACCCGCTCCACGCAGCCCATGTGATTCAAGAAAGTCGGGGTGCGCTCCCCCACGCCCGGCGCCCGGACCGCCCGGAGGCGGGGCCCCTCGGGCGGCAGGGTTCGCGCACTGCCCCGTGGGTCCGGCCGCGGGGGGCCGCTTGTGCGCGCGCGGACAGGCGGGGGCCGCACCAGGGTGCGTGACGTCACCGGCATTGGTTACACGACGTTATAGAACTCCGCCCCACGTGCGCCGGGGAGGAGGGGGGAGGAGGAGGAGGAGATGGGGGTGGGGAGGAGGAGGGGGAGAGGTGGGGATGGGCCGGGGGGGCGGGGACGGGGGGGGTGTGCGAGCAGCAGGGCTGAGCTAAGCCGAGCCCACGTGTGACGGCTCTCGCCGCTGCCCCGGCTCCGCCGCTCGCAGAGAGATTCGGAGGAGCCCGGGCGGGGGGGAGGAGGAGGAGGGGGAGGAGGGAGCGGGAGATCTCGGGGCTCGGAGTCGGCCGCCGCTCCGCTCCGATCGCTGTGGGGCTCGGATTTTTGGGGGTGGGGGGGCGGGGGGGCTCAGATATGGAGGCAAATGGGAGCCAAGGCACCTCGGGCAGCGCCAACGACTCCCAGCACGACCCCGGGTAAGTTTCCAGCCGCTGCCCACCGCGCCGCCTCGGGCTCGCTCTCCTTGCAGCGGCGGGGACGGCGGTGCGCGGAGCTCGGCATCTCCCGCGCCCCCCCGCCCCTCCCGCGCGCCCCCCCCGTGGAAGTTACACACCTTTGGATTGCATTTCGCCGTCACCTTCTCCCCCACCCCACCTCCCGGCTCTCGCTTGCTCGCTCCCCCCCGCTTTCCTTTTAGCTTTTGTAAGTTACACGTCAAAATGGCCGATCTGACATCGGTGCTCACTTCTGTTATGTTTTCTCCCTCTAGTAAAATGTTTATCGGTGGACTGAGCTGGCAGACCTCACCAGGTAAGGGAGGGAGGGGGGGACGCCTGGGTCCCCCCCTTCTTGGCTTCTTTATTGCTCTTTGTTATCCCAGTGTAGGAGCCCCCCCTCGCCATTGGCTCCCCACTTCTCCTGTGCAAGGTTATTTTTTTAAATAGCAAATCCTTTCCGAGCCCTCTACGCGACCTCTGTTGCCGAATTTCTCCCGCGTGTGCAAAAAATGCAAAAAACAAAACAGAATAACAACAGAAAACTACTTTTGGTTTTTGTCCTTGATCAAAATTTGCATTGCTTTTTCCCCCCACACCTTCTCCGCCCCCCCATCTCTCTCTCTTTCTCTCTACAGATAGCCTTAGAGACTATTTTAGCAAATTTGGAGAAATTAGAGAATGTATGGTCATGAGAGATCCCACTACGAAACGCTCCAGGTAAACCATTCCTTTCTGGATTTTGCCTTTATTTTAGAACAAAGTTTAAGTGTTATTTTTGGAGGTGTCTTCGGAAGTAGCTAAGCGGATTTAGAATGGGGCTCAGGCATGTGGCTGGTTTCGAACGCCGCTCTATTCCACCCCCACCCCCATAACCTCAAAGGTTATTATAAATTGGGGCTTGAACTCTGTCTGGATAGAGATACCCATCTCTCTGCCTTAAGTCATTTTCCCGTCGCTTCTCTTTCTCCTGTTGAAAATGACATTCGGCTTTATTCACTTTCCACACAGTTTTTAAAAATGCACGCTTCTTCCCACTCCCAGCTCCCCAAACTCTGAAGCCCCTCTTAGAAGGCTGGATGAATCTCTTCTAAGTGCCGGGTTTTCATCGGGATAAAACAAAGCGTTAAGAAAGGGAAGGGGAAGAGGAGGAGAGGAAACTGAGGTGGCGAAAGAGTAGAGACACCAGCTTTTTCCAAGTTACCTCCACCAGCCCTGCCCCCGTTCCACTTCCCCCATTAACCTTGGTGTATTTTCCTGCGAGGTGGAGGGCTGTAGACCGGAGGGGTTTTGGAGGACGGGGGTGGGGGGCGCGGAGGGGGCAACTTTTGCTCTCCATTCTGCTGTAGGGCTCACTCCCTGTTGCTTTCAGTGGTGTCACATTTTCTTGTTTGTTTTTCTCCCTCTTTGTCTCATTTCAGAGGCTTCGGCTTCGTCACGTTCGCAGACCCAGCAAGTGTAGATAAAGTACTAGGTCAGCCCCACCATGAGTTAGATTCCAAGACGGTAGGTTGCTTCTCGTCGTCGTCGTCCTCGTTGTTGTTGTTCGCCCCTTTTCAGGACCGATCCTGGGCATTGACAGCCCCATTTAAAGGGACAGTGCCTTCTTTTGCTTCTGTGCTGAGAGCCGGGTACTTTGAAGCAGAGCTCGGGAGTTGGCACTAAAGTTTGCTACCATCGCCGTGTTTGGGATTTTCTTTTTAGAGCTTGTTCCACAGCAATTCCAGTTGCTGCCGAACTAGGCTTGGGGGAGGGGTCGGCCTGGGGGGGGGGCGGTGTATTTTCAAGGCTAAGGGACCGTTCAAAGAAGCTGCACTACTGAGCAAAGGCAACTTTTCTTTGTCAGCAGAGTACATCACATGTTACCAACTGGGGCTGTGGGAACTGGCTTTCAGAGGCACAGCCTGCTTCCCGGCCCTGGGGGAGGGGCAGGAGGAGGGGGGCGCTCATCCCAGGTCCAGGCAACAGGTTCCTCTTGGGGCACTTTGGATTTGAAACGGGGTTTGAGAAGGGAAGGAGGCGCTCCCGGGGCCAAGCTGGGCATCCAGTGGGTGGCTCCAGATGGCCTGAAATCTAAGGCTGATAAGGCCCTGGCTTTCAAAATGATTTGTTTTTTTTCCTTTTCTTTCTCAGATCCTTTATTCTGAGTGTGGGTACTTCTATAGCGTTATAAGGTTTTAAAGCCTGGTATTGGAGGGTGGGGGAAGGTCTCTGGGTGGAGGTCTGGAGAGGAAGGGAAGAAGCAGTATCAGTGCATGATAATACACTTAATGGGAGGGGCTGGATGTGATGTGTTTTCTTTAGACCCCTGTGTTGGCTCTGTGCTTGCCTCCCTTCCCTTTATGTCTTCTAGAATTTCCCCACAGTTTTTATACATCTGCCAAAGCAGGGGCCCTGAGGTGACATTGGGATGCAGTGCTGGGCTGCTTGAGACTTCACTTCTCTGGTGGGGTAGTGGGACAAGGCAAGCCATCGGGTTCTAGTCCCAGCAGTCCCTTTTGAACTTGAGAAAGTTGTTTCCATCTCAGGCCTCACTTCCCTCTTCTCTAAAATAAAGGAGTGGAACTGAGGTGATCTTCTAAGTCCCTTTGGCTTTAACATTGAATAGAAGAGAAGGGAAAACAATAACAACAACAACAAACCAAAACCCTGGCCACTTTTGGTGTACCTGCCTTGACTGTGCAAATTTATTCTCTTTCTCTGATCAGAGGTGAGGTGCATGGCCTCCCTACTCCCCAAGAAAACCCACACTCTCTGAGCTGCTTTATTAATTGCTGGATTTGCCATAGTCTCCGGCCTAGCCTTTTTGCACTTTGAGGTCATCTAATTTCAGGGATGATCATTTGTAGATTGATCATGCATATTCAGATCTTTTTTTTTTTTTTTTTACTCCTTGACTTTTTGGCTAGTTATTGCAAAAAGCTAGGAAAATTAGAGGACAAATATTTCTAAGCAAATTCAAGAATGTATTAGGTACCCCCTCCGCCCACTCTGAGTGGGAGAAAAGAGTATTTGGTTTCTACAGCGGCCAGTGGGTCCTGTCCCTCAGTATCAGGTGCAAAGCCTGCGGTACTCCCTCCCTAACTGTTTGTAGACGTGTTTTCGTCACTATGATTTAGTATAACATAGCTTTTGACTTTGTTTCAACCGTTCAGTGCAGGAGGCAGAAGCGGTTGGTTTATTGACATGGAAACAGAGGATCTTGTTTACCTTAAAAGCTTTGTTTAGGTAATGGCCCTTCACATCCAAAATAGTACCCTAGTCTTTTCCTAGAGGATTTGTAGCTACAGTAAGTAGAGCTGTACCTAACTAACTAATGTTTTAATTTTTGGTAGTTTTCTTTTTTGTTCGTTTTTTAAAAAAAATAGTCGACAGGGACGTGCAAAAGGTTGGGATTTGCCATACTTCCCTTGACCTGTCTTCTCCCGTGGACGCCTCAGCAGCACGCTGATGAACTCTCCCTGTGGTACAACATGCTGTTGTCACAACACACGAGACAGGGATTCGGAATTGGCTTTTCGTTCTGTGATTTTAGATGTATATACATATATTTATTGTGCTCCATTCTCCCCATGCTCCACTCCCTCAGCTTCTGGCCTCTTCCCCAACATGTCTGGTCCCTCCTCACCTTTCACCCGCCAAACAAGATGACTTATTCTCGCAATTGTGTGCCTGTCAGCTAAAAAAATAAAATAAAATAAATTTGGGAGCATTTATGAGGAGACGTATCTGTCTTACGTTTGGTCAACAGAATGGAAATCCACACCTGTTGTATTTCTCTTGTAGACAGCTCTAGTCAGTGCTGAATACACCTGTAGATGCGGGAATGTTAATCTGGATGAAAGGATAGTTTTCTAGATCAGAGATTTCTGTCTCTTTTAGTTTTGGGAAAACAATCTCTCATTTCTCAGGTGACGTTTACAGGTAGAAAACAAACACGTTGCAGACTTACGTGAGATCTCTACCCTAATAAAAGCAGTAGGCCGTTGTATGTCTTACCTGCTGGGGTCCTGCGGGATGTGAAGTCTGCGAACGGGAATGACCATGTGCCTTTTTTCCCTCTGTGCTTTTTCCCAGAGCATTTTTTTTAACCCCACAGCAGCACCGAAATCAAGGTTCAGATTCACATTTTAAAAGGGGAAAATTTTAATACAAGAGCCAAAGCCTATAAATAACTTGTAGCAATATTCATGCCACTCTCTATGTTAAATTTTACCCACAGACTCATGACATTTAGAAATCTAATGAAAACCAACAATGGGAATGTTTTATTATCCCTTCCCTCCCCGTATTTTCTCTTCAACAACTTCTCCCTTAGCCTGTTAAATTCAGATGCTTCCATGGGAATTGTTTTGAATG